ATCTTTATATTTTTCTACTTGTTTCTTTATAGTTAAGAAGGTCAACATTTATGCACACACTTAAATATAATATAAATTAAGAGTATTTGTTTATTCTATTTTATTTCCAATCTATAATTTGAGTTTTTTTTAATATATTTTGTATTTTTAAAATTAATAATTTTAATGTAGTTATCTAAATTTTGTATGTGATGATTTTAATTAATTGATATTATCGAATCATTTAATTTGATTTATTATAGTAAAAATCATAAAAATAAATGTTAAAATAATATTAATTATTTTAAATTATAAGAAAATAAATAATAAAAATAGAAAATAAAGTATTCTATAAAATAAGACTAATTATTATAAAGATAAAATAGAATATGGGAGGAAATGAGGATGATAATATAGTAAAAATGATAGAGTTTAAAAACAATGTAGAATGTGAGAAGTTTAAAAAGAAAAAAAAGTTAAAAAAGGATATATATATATATATATATATATATATATATATATATATATAAATGTAATTGGATTAAATTTGTTATCCCCTCATATATTATTATACATTATTAGCGTAATTTTAGTTTAATTAAAAATTAGAATACAAATATACTATACTATACTAATATACCATTATATTATTTTCATTGTATATAAATTACAAAACTAATAATTTTTAAAAAATTTAATGATAATTTTTTTTAACTTATATATTACAAAATATTTTTTAATACATTAATAAATATAAATTTTTTAAAATATTTTCATTAATTTAAAGTATAATTTTTAATATTTTTTAGTATTCTTTTAAATGTGGATATCTTTAATATTTTGGACATATAAATATAATGTATACATGTTTTTAAACCTTTTTCTAATATTTGTTTTAAAAAATATAATATCATTTTTAATATTTTATAGATTTTATATTTATATATTTATAAAAGTAATTGGATTAAATTTATTATCCCCTCATATATTATTATACATTCTTAGCGTAATTTTAGTTTAATTAAAAATTAGTATACAAATATATTATACTATACTAATATACCATTATATTATTTTCATTGTATATAAATTACACAATTAATAATTTGTATACTATACTATACTAATATATTATTTGTATATTATACTAATAGTATAATATACTATATTATAATATTATTTGTATACAAAACTAATATCTTTATATATAAATATGAAAAGATATAAATATATGTAAAAATATAAAGATATAAATATATGTAAAAATATAAAGATATAAATATATAAATATGTAAAGATATAAACATATATCTTTAATATTTTGTACATGTAAATATAATTTATATATATTTTTAAACCTTTTTCTAATATTTGTTTTTAAAAATAAAATATTATTTTAAATTTTAATATTTAAATTTTTAACTTTTTCTTAAACATATAAATATATAAAGAAATAAATATATAAATATATAAATATATAAATAAATATATAAATATGTAAATATGTAAATATATAAATATATAAATATATAAATATATATATATATATATAAATATATTAATATTATCCCCTTATATTTTATTATACATTATTAGCATAATTTTAGTTTAATTAAAAATTAGAATACAAATATATTATATTATATTAATATATCATTATATGATAATATTTGTAATTTATTTTTATTGTGTATAAATTACAAAACTAATAAATTTTAAAAAACTTAATCATAATTTTTTTAACTTATATATTAAAGAAAATTTTTTAACACTTTAATAAATATAACTTTTTAAAAATATTTTCATCAATTTAAAGTATAATTTTTAATATTTTTTGTATTTTTTTAAATGTGGATATCTTTAATATTTTGGACATATAAATATAATTTATATATGTTTTAATTCTTTTTCTAATATTTGTTTTTAAAAATATAATATCATTTTTAATATTTTATAGATTTTATATTTACATATTTATAAAAGTAATTGGATTAAATTTATTATCCCCTCATATATTATTATACATTATTAGCGTAATTTTAGTTTAATTAAAAATTAGAATACAAATATACTATACTATACTAATATACCATTTTATTATTTTCACTGTATATAAATTACAAAATTAATAATTTGTATACTATACTATACTAATATATAATTTGTATACTATACTAATAGTATAATATACTATATTATAATATTATTTGTAAACAAAACTAATATTTGTATATCTTTATATATAAATATATAAATATGGAAATATATAAATATATGTAAAAATATAAAGATATAAATATATGTAAAAATATAAAGATATAAATATATAAATATGTAAAGATATAAATATATATCTTTAATATTTTGTACATGTAAATATAATTTATATATATTTTTAAAACTTTTTCTAATATTATCTTTTAAAAATAAAATATTATTTTAAAATTTAATATTTAAATATATAAAGATATAAATATATAAATATATAAAGATATAAATAAATATATAATATATAAATATATAAATATATAAATATATAAATATGTAAATATGTAAATATATAAATATATAAATATATAAATATATTTATATTTATAGATTTTATAAATATATAAAGATATATATATATATATATATATATATATATATATATAAATATATAAATATATGTAAAGATACAAAGATATAAATATATGTAGAGATATAAAGATATAAAATATAAAGATATAAAGATATAAAGATATAAATATATATCTTTAATATGTTGTACATGTAAATATAATTTATATATATTTTTAAATCTTTTTCTAATATTTATTTTTAAAAATATAATATTATTTTTAAAATTTAATATTTTTTTCAAATATATAAATATATAAAGATATAAATGTATAAAGATATAAATAAATATATAAATATATCAATATATAAATATATCAAAAATATAAATATATTAATATATAAATATATCAATATATATATATATATATATATATATATATATATATATATATATATCAATATATCAATATTATCCCCTCATATATTATTATACATTATTGGCGTAATTTTAGTTTAATTAAAAATTAGAATACAAATATATTATATTATATTAATATACCATTATGTTATAATATTTGTATTTTATTTTTATTGTGTATAAATTACAAAACTAATAATTTTTAAAAAATTAATGATAATTTTTTTAACTTATATATTACAAAATATATTTTAATACTTTAATAAATATAACTTTTTTAAAATATTTTCATCAATTTAAAGTATAATTTTTTATATTTTTTTAGTATTTTTTAAATGTGGATATCTTTAATATTTTGGACATATAAATATAATTTATATATGTTTTTAAACCTTTTTCTAATATATTTTTTTTAAAAATATAATATCACTTTTAATATTTTATAGATTTTATATTTATATATTTATAAAAGTAATTGGATAAAATTTATTATCCTCTCATATATTATTATACATTATTAGCATAATTTTAATTTAATTAAAAATTAGAATACAAATATACTATACTATACTAATATACCATTATATTATTTTCATTGTATATAAATTACAAAATTAATAATTTGTATACTATACTATACTAATATATAATTTGTATACTATACTAATAGTATAATATACTATATTATAATATTATTTGTATACAAAACTAATATCTTTATATCTTTATATATAAATATATAAATATGCAAAGATATAAATATATGTAAAAATATAAATATATAAATATATAAAAATATAAATATATGTAAAAATATAAAGATATAAATATATAAATATATCAATATATAAATATATCAATATTTAAATATATTAATGTATAAATATATCAATATTTAAATATATATTAAAATATATAAATATATTTTTATTTATAGATTTTATATTTATATATTTATACGAATATATATTTGTTTGTATATAAATATAGACAATAAATCTGGTAATAAGTTAAACTTCTAAAAAATATAATTACAAATGTAAATAAATAAAAATAATTAACTTTGTTATTGATTTAGCGACCGATATAAATCGGTCGCTATTTTTTAAACTTTGTCACCGATTTAGCGACCAATTTGATATATTAATTTCGGTCGCTATTTGACGATCGAAATAAAATCGGTCATTATTTTATGACCGAAATGAAAATCGGTCATTAACACATTAGCGACTTGGCTTTTTGCGACGACGTCTTTCGATCGCTAACTGATTAGTGACCGATTTTTTGACATTAACGACTCGATTTTTTCGATCGCTAAAATGATTTTTTCTTGTAATATATATATATATATATATATATATATATATATATATATATATATATATATATATATATATATATATTTACCAAAACATTGGTATGTACTCCTATTAACACCAAAATGTTGATAGTGGTAGTTAGGTTGCATGATTTGGTTAAGGGTTTTGTCAAGTCGCTTGAGTGTGAGACATAGGGGCTTGGGCACATACTGTTGTTTGACAATAGTTCTAAAATGAAAATTAAGTGTCACAAGGACCTTGGGGGAAGTGATTTTGTACAATGATGTGAATGATTTGTTGCATTTTTTTTCTCCAAGGGTTGAAACATTAACTAGATTCAATAATCAAATTTCTATATGAACTAGAAGAAGGCTACGTTTTACACAAGACTGGTGTGAAAGTGGAATACCTTATGTCATTAGAAGAATTTACTATGTAAAGAGGTCCTAGAGTAGACCTTACAAATGGTTCACACAAGATTCATGATTTTATGACATTAGAGCAATTTGTGGAGAAAAAACATGCTTACATTGCACAAAAATACTAGGATCCCATAGATAATAATAATTTAAGTGTTTGTATGATAAAGAACCAATTTATAAAGCAGAGCACAAAAATACTAGGATCCCATAGATAATAATAATTTAAGTGTTTGTATGATAAAGAACCAATTTATAAAGCAGAGCTTTAGTTTTCTTAAGGAGAAGATCAAGTTTTCTTAGATGGTTAGGCTTTGAAATAGATGAGTACATTATCATCCTAATTATACTTTCTCAATCACTTTCCCTGTACAATAAACTTAGAATCAAATGTGGCATATTACAATTTTGATAAATGAATATGTGCCTAGTTTTTTTAGGATGACAAAATGGGATAGGTCTAGCATACCAATCCACCATCCTGCCTTAAAAATAAAGTAGGAAAAGTTGATAGTTTTAGGCCGCCAACCCATTTTGGCCCACCCCGTCTAACCTGCCAACCTGGCGGGCCAAGGGTGGGGTAAAACGGGTTGAACTATTGACTTGTTTTAAAACAAAATATTTATATGTTAACATTAAAATAAAAAAATATAATTAACCTTTTTTGTCTTGTTGAAATATGAAAATATATTATAATATTACAATTTAATTATAACTAGTAACCAATTAAGTTTTTATTATTGATTATCTAATAAAAATATTAACTAATTGTAGTGCCCAAGTCCCAACCTGTTAAACAACCGATATAGTATCCAAGTAGTCAGACTCGTTACATAATTGACCTAATAAATCAAACATATAACAAGTCGTTGCACATAAAAGTCGAATATAAATTCTAAATATCTACTCTCTAAACAAACACTTTTGAAGGCTTTGGCCCAATACTGAGTACAAATACATGGTTATGACTAGGGTTATAGAGAGAAGATAAGTAATAATATTTTGCAATAACACTTGGCACCGTTTGTGGGGACGGTAAAACATTCTTATTCCACGAAAAGGGAAAAGCCACCTAGCTGATTCGGCCACTGTGGGTTAGAAGCTAGTCCATGAAGTTCAACATCCATGATGTGCTTATTCTTGTGGTCTTTCCCTCCAGGAACCAATCCAGGTCCATATTGAACACGTCCTAAGCAAGGAAATTGGTCATGGCAGTGACAAAGCTCGATTTTCCAGTACCAGAGGGACCATAGAGGGGGAAGCTTTATTTCTAGACGCAACCGAGTCGGTGGTGGTGTTGTTTCACTCTAAGGAACAATTCGAGATCGAATTTGACCCTGTTTTGAGATCCAGTTCTTTTGTGATGATGTCGAAGGTAGAAGAATGCTTGAACGGGGTGAATCTCGAACGTCCCATTCTCATAGGCATTGTTCGTGAGGAGGCACAAGTCGTGCTTCCCTTGTTGTTTGTTTTCGTTAACTATGGCGTGAATGTGTTGAAGGTAAGGATAGGGGATTCACCACTTATCCACAATCCTGGCTTTCAGAATAAAGTTTTTGGTTCCAGTTGGATTTGGATAAGTGGGTTGGTTGAACAAGTAGAGTGCGACTCCAAGAAAATGGTCTTGGATGATTTGGTGAAGTTGGACTGCAACTACAACTCATATGGAGGCCCTCTTCACACTATTATTATTATTATTATTATTATTATTATTATTATTATTATTATTATTATTATTATTATTATTATTATTATTATTAGTAGTAGTATATAAAATTCTAATTCACTTATGGGTGATCGACTTCATTCGGTTATGACCCTTGGACAGCCAACAAGTCACAACCACATCATACATGTGACTTCAAATTGATTTGAAGGAGGACACTCAAAGATAAGATTTTGAAGTGAATGTCTTGTCTAGAATCACATCAACCTTGCATACAAGTAATGTTGTTGGAAAATTTGCAACACAAATTCTAAATGATACAAATGGTCTTTCTTGTGGAGCTATATATGAGGATATCATAAAAAATAAGGCAATTTATTGTCAAAATGCCTTGAAAAATCTCGTTCGTCAAACTTTAGAAGGTGGTAAGAGCATTAGTTAGACCAAATGGTACAATAAACGACTCAAAGTGTCCATGGTATGTGCAAGTAGCAATTTTATATTTATCCTCTGAGTTCAATAATATTTTATGATAGCCTAACATTAAATCAAGCTTGGAGAAATAAGTAACCCTAGATAAATAATTAATCAGCCCATCTATCGTTTGAATTACAAAGTTATCTTTTATTGTAATAATATTATGAGCCTATAATTCGTATATACTATCCGAGAATGAGAAGGGATGAGAAAAAAAAAATGCATGCTCTATTGAATAATTCATTCTTAAAGCATATCATCTATAAGATTTTCAGTTTCCTCTTTTTGGCTATAAGCATAATATAATGATTTCACTTTGATGGTAACAAATTTTTCATTATGTAAGAATTTTAAATGTAAAGCCTTGTAGTCTACCGCATAAGATCCAATAGTTTTGAACTAATTGGCTCACAAAATAAGATGTGATCCTAAAATTGGAAGAAAATAGACAAAAAATTTAAATATATTACCTTGAGCTTGGATAACCAAATTTTGAACTAAGCCCTTTGTTACCATATAGTTCCCGTTACCCACCATCACTTTGAATAAAGGAGTTATCTTTGCTGAGATCTTCAAAGTTTTTGCCACACAAGGTTCAATTTATTAAGATAATAATAGGTATTTTATGAATGTAATTCAAGATTTTAATAGTACCCACATCGATGCCACCCTTCAAAGCATTGAATAACAAAAGATGATCATCTAATACAAATACAAAATTAAGGACAGGTTGGTCGAAATTAGATGTTGGATCATTATTAGACTCCTCTAATTCTTCCTCTAATTTCTAAAATAAGAATGATCTATTATCACACTTATGGTTAAAAATAGTATTTCCATCACAAAAATAACATAATTCTTTCTCTCAACAAATTTGCAACCCAATAAAACTAATATTTTTTACATTAGCATTTCTCAATGATTGTCAAGTAAGAGTAAGAAGCAACGGTAATAATGGTGATTTTCATAACTTGTTTGGATATATTTTGGGAAGGAGTATAAGATAGGGAATATCTAAGGGAATAACATAAAACAAACGAAATATGATATTTTATAATAGAGGTATATCTATCCTCGTGTAATTTTGTTAGTCATTGCTCTTAATAACACTAAAAATATATTTTAACAAGGCGTCAATCATACAATAATAAATGTATGATTTATTAGCTAATGACATGAACTAATGACAATAATCAAAGTCTATACCATTCTAATGTAATTTAAACAACTCAACCATTTTCCATTCAATGTGAAATGATCCAAATTGAGATTCTAAGGCTTGTGTCAAATATATCCACAAACAAACTATAGAAAGTCATTGGAGTATTTGAATCCAAGGCATGACGTCTTTCTAAAAATGAACACACTAATGCTCAATCTCTCAACATCAGTCATGATATGACTCTCGATCATAAGGACATTAGAGGAGGAGTGGTAACTTGATATATAATAAAGTAAGGTGCAAAGAAATAAAGTAAGCAAATCCAAGGAAAATTCCCACTAGATATTAAGATAGTTGTCTATCTAAATGTGAAGGTTTATTTCCAAGGATTGGGAGGTGGAGAGAAGGAGAACAAAGCAAGAAAAACCAAGCAACAATGGCTGAGAATGGACCAGCCCTTAAGGTAAAAGTTAATGTGACAAAGAAGCTAAGGAAAGAAAGAAGAAAATGGAAGTATGGGAAAGGTGGTCGTGGTGGTAATAGTACGCCACTAGGGGGAGGAAACCACCCTAGATAAGTGAGGTTGTCGCCAGTTGAACCAAAGTTCAAAATAAGACTAAAAGAGAATAGCAACTGTAACATCCTAAGTATCTCTGATTTGTTAAATTTTAACAAAATTTTTGTGAAAATTTTAATAATTAAATGATTAGGAATTGGGGAAAGTGACTATAGAATTTTATGTTTGTTAGATTATTTGTAATTTTCTGGAAATTTTCTGGAATTAAAAAAAAAAATAATAATAGAAAATAAATTCAATTTTGACTTTTAAAAAGACATTTCTCTATGCAATTTCCCATTGGTTCTCCCTTTCTCTCATTTCTCTCTTTCTCTCAAACCCTCCTCACTTTGAAGCTTGATTTTGAGGGGGGAAATATTGATTTTCTTGAGAAGCTCCAAGAGGTAAGTTTGTTTCTCTCAATCTCCTCTACATTTCTACGGTTTTATTTTTCAAAATGGTGCATTTTCAATTTTTATCCTCACTTGGCTAAGCTTGAATGGGAGTGAGAAGAGTGTTATTGTAGGTTTTACACCTAGGACACTAGATTAATACTTAGAATTGAGGATTAGAAGTGATTAAGCTAAAAACCTTAAGAACCCTAATTCATAGGTCACTGTTCATTGAATTCTGGGACTTGTGTGAATAGATAGGAATTGGTCTCTTCATAAAAGTTGTAGCCCTTTAAGTTATCGAAGAAACTTGTTTAACATCAAATGAATATTTGTAGCTCAAGTTATGTCCATTTTACTATCAAGTATTATAACTGTGAAGCTAAGAGGTTGCCCTGTTTCAACAACCTCGCTTTTTGAATTACTGGGATTGATACGTGTGAAATTAGGACTTGATTCCTTCATAAAAGTTGTAGGAACTTATATTCCCAAAATTTAGAAATTTGTTTCATATCAATAGCTTATGAGTTATAGTCAAATTACCAAGGCATGTTCAGAGTGTTATTGTAGTTGAGCCATGTTGGAAACAACCACTGTAAACTGAAAAACTGCATTTATTCTATAGGGTATTTGAATTTATTTCCTTCATCAATATTGTAGGTAATTAAGTTATTGAAATTTTGGTTCAGACCTCATGCCAAAACAGCTTATATAATTCTAGAAAATTTTGAAATATTGAACCTTGTCCATATTTATTATTAGGATTCTTCCTACTCTAAGTGTATTACTTCCATTACTCTCTTCCACTTGTATTACTTCCATTAGCATCAATTTAGGCCCTAGAAATGATTTTATAACTCAAAGAGCCATAGTCTTGAAATTTAGAATTTTAGGCTATGAAGGAGGTGAAATTTTAGAGGTTTAATATGGTTGGAATTAAGGATTTAATTGAGATATTTAATTGGCATGTAGGAGGCTACTTAGAGGTGCAAAGAGGAGACCCAAAGACTTGATAGATTATTTGATCAAGAGTTGCTCTTCACCAAGTTACAACATAAGGTAAGGGGTAGGATAATTTTATAATTCACTTTTGCTTGAAATAGCATTGAGAAGAAGTCACTTTACTTCTAAGTTAATTAGAAATTTATTTGGAATTATTTGAATGCTATTTCTATTTTTGATGAATTTTTAAAGTTTTAAGATTATGTGAATTTTATGGCTTCTAAATGGAGCAACTTGAGTGTATGGAACCTTGTATGATTATAAGGCATCCATGAATGTTGTTTGAATCAATTTCTTAATCATTAGTAATTTTATATGATTTATTGATGAGTTTAGATTGAGAATTATCCTATTTCTATGTTTAGTATTATGATAACTGTTTTAAATTGATTATTGAGATATATTGTATGTATGTTATGAAGCATGATAAGTAGAAAATTATTGTGGAATGTTTTTGTTAAGATGGATTAGCACGTAGAATTGCATTGTATAATTTGGTGGAATGGAGGAAAGGTGTGAGAAATGAACTGTGAGAAAGAAAACTAATTTTTTTATATATATTAAATTGAATTTTATAATTTAATTATGAAGTGAATTTTTATATTTTTATTTAATTAATAAATATTTTTCAAAAGTATTGAAATTATTTTGATTTAGGAGAAAACAATTAATTGTAAGTGAAAATGAATTTTTAATAATTTTGAGGAAATTATTTGCAATTATTATTATTATTTAAGAAAAATAAATTAAAATTGAGAAAATTATGATTTTGAGTGATGATGAGGTGGAAGGATGGTTTGGTGAAAAGTAGAAGTGTTCTGGGCTGTTTTTGATTATTTTGCAGGTGTTAAAATTTTTTTGGGAATATCCGATTTATAGGGGAGACTCTGTCAGATTTTTTTTAAGAAATAACCTAGTATTATTTTGAAGAAGTTAAGATGTGATTTAAGTATAATGAGGTGAAACAAAGTTGAAGGAGTGTGAAGAAGTTATGATAAGTCATGCATCATGTTCATGAGTCAGAGATTGAGTGTATGAGGAGGATATGGAAAATCAGGGTCGGTTCCATGTTAACTTCAGGGATGATTGAGTGTGATCGAGCTCATATGTGGCTTAGGCTTGCTACTTAAGCTGTGAGACTCTCACTACCAAGCTTGATTATCGTGACTAAAGCCCCAGAGTTTCTCATGATCAGTTGAACTGGACAAGTAATTATGAGTATACTACCGCAAGGCGGTGAGAGGTTCCAGTGAAACTCCTGATCCTTCTTGAAAAAAAAAAACAAAAAAACAAAAGAGAAAGTGGTTTTGGGATCCCCATGGTCTTGCATACTAGGATGTGTCCTAGAAAAGGTTAGTGGATACATTGCATTCATAATATCATATCATTTGTGTGCTGATTGCTAGTATGTTTGTATGTGTAATTTCTAATTAACTCAATGTTATTTGCATGCTCTAAGTGAATATAAAGTTGTCTTACCCTTTTTGTGCATGTATTGTTGTTATGAAATGTTTGCATAGGTGGTGACGTTGAATGTAACATCCTGATTCTCAATACCCCTGGTTTATTAAATTTTGACAAAATCTTTGTCAAAATTTTAATAATTAAATTATTAGGAATTGTGTAAAGTAACTGTAGAGTTTTATGTTTATTAGATTATTTATTATTTTCAGGAATTTTTAGAAAATACTCGTGTGTGTGTGCCTGAACGTTGAATATGGACTTAACAATTTTAATTGTCACATTTAGAAATTATTGTTTTCTTTTATGCATTGAGTGTGGGTACATTAAAAGTTTATTATGTGTATAAATTGACAAGAAACATATGATGGTTAATATGGTTTGGAGTGATGTTGGAGTCCTAGGGATTGTGCGTTCAAATCCTAGTTAGAGTAAAAAGGAGAAAATAAAGATAATTTTTTTGTAATGTAATCCGCTGGGCGCATCAGAAATGCGTTGAGCGGATTATGTTTGAAATCTCTATTAAATGCGGCCTGGGCAGAACCGTAGTTCCTCATTTCTCTTAAAACTTTTCTTATCTTTAAGGTTGATTTGAACGGGAAAATCTTGATTTTCTTGAGAAGCTCCAATAGGTAAGTTGGTTTATCTCAATCTCCTCTACATTTCTACCGTTTTATTTTTCAAAATGATGCATTTTCTATTTTTATCCTCACTTGAATGAGCTTGAATGGGAGTAGGAAGAGTGTTATTGTAGGTTTTACACCTAGGATAGTAGAATAATGTTTAAAATTGAGAATTAGAAGTGGTTAAGCTAAAAACTTTAAGAGTCCTAATTCGTAGGTACTATTCATTAAATTTTTGGGACTTGTGTGAACAGAATTAGGAATTGGTATCTTCATGAAAGTTGTAGCTCTTTAAGTTGTCGAAATTTAGAAACTGATTTCACATTAAACGGATATTTATAGCTTAAGTTATGCCCATTTTACTATCAAGTGTTCTAGCTGTGACGTTAAGAGGTAGCCCTGTTTCAACAGCCTAGGTTTTTGAATTACTGAGATTGATACGTGTGAAATTAGGACTTGATTTCTTCATAAAAGTTGTAGTAAATTATATCCCCGAAATTTAGAAATTTATTTCATGTTAATATCTTATGTGTAGCAAGATTTATAATCCAATTACCAAGGCATGTTCAGAGTGTTATTGTAGTTGAGCCTAGTTGGAAACAACCACTGAAAACTGCATCTATTCTATAGGGTATTTGAATTTATTTCCTTCATCAATATTGTAGGTAATTAAGTTATTGAAATTTTGGCTCAAATCTCATGCCAAAATAGCTTATATAACTCTAGAAAATTTCAAAATACTGAACCTTGTCCATGGTTGTTATTAGGATTCTTTCTACTCTAAGTGCCTATAAAATAGGATAATTTTCTAAGTTAATTGTAAGCTGAATGTGAGCTTAAAATATTATTAGAAATGGATTAACAATACAAAGTAAATTTAAATTCTCATGAGATAGAATCATAGAAATATAAGATTCTAACTAACATTTTATTACGTATATAGATTTTGTTGAAACACAACATCAAACTTTGAAAGGAATAAGTGTGAATGTATCGGGTAAGGGGTGGGCTATATAGTAAGGATTACATCATAAACTTGTTTGACCTTATTTATTGAATTTGTTTAAATTTTTTATGATTGATAATTTTGATTTCATTATATGCTTGGTTGTGAAAGTGATCATGAATTGCTCACGTGTATGATGGTGTAAAATACATGTTTGGTACTCTATTATGATATGTATTGTCTTTGAGTGAGCATTTATATGCATGGTGGTTTTTCATGAGAAAATTCATTGAAAATTAAA